TTATGGCATGGGTCACCATCTTATCTACACCTTACGAGAGTTGCAACCAACCATGATCTGGCTGTATATCACAAATGCCGCATATCACACGACCACTGTCTTCATCAAGATATCCCTACTCCTACAGTACCTGAGGCTCTTTCAGCAGGGCGCTCGCCGCATCATTTGCATCGTACTTCTCGCGTTGGTGATAGTATGGGGCCTGACTTTCTCATTTATGGCTTGGGTACCCTGCTTTCCAGTAAGGAACTTCTGGGATCGACAACCTGGCTCTAAATGCTACGGCTTCGGGTATCGCACTATCATGGAGGCGAAACTCACGATACTCGCGTTTGCTGCGACGAACATGGCGTTCGACATTGCAATATTCCTCGTCCCGATCACGGAATACTTTAGAAAAGATCTCAGACGGAAACAGGTGCTTGCCATGACTGGATTGTTCGCCCTCGGTTCGATGTAAGTGCAGACTCTGAACACTACAGCATCACCACTGACAGACGCAGTGTCGTACTCATGGCTATCCTCCGCCTTTGGAGCACCTTCAAAAACAGTCAAAGTATGACCCAAAGTTTTGATTTCACATGGTGGTACCCCGAAGTCCTCATCATCTCCTGCCTCGAAATCGACTTCGCGATAATGTGTGCGTCCATGCCCATATTCTGGCCCACCGTCATGGCTTCCTGGACCCAAATATTTGTCACCAACGAGGTCCGCGTTACGCACCACGAACGTCTGCCCAACGATAGTCGCGATAACTTCGAGTTGGTCAGGAATACGTCGTTGAAGAGCACAGGGAGTGCGGAAGAACTGGCAAGGGTTACGAGCGAAGAGCAGGACACGGTGTATGGCGGATTTGACCCGGAGACGGGCAAGGATGGCAGATTTGCTGCTATGCGAGTAGAGGTACAACCGCAGGCGCAGAGGACGCGGAGACTCTGAACAGCATGTTTCCAGGAAATCCAGCTCATGGCTTTGACTTTGACACTTATGTCCATACGTGTGGTCGCAATTCGGTACTTCCTCTGTCCGACACGCTCGACTTCTCAGCATTGAGAATGCCAGGTGTGGATCGTAGCTGCATGGGCCCCTGCAAGAAAGATCATCGAGGCACAGCTCGACAAGCTGCAGGCCAAGCCCACTCCACACGGCAATTGACCTCGGTTGCAATGGATCGTCGCATCCTCCATCGACATCTTATTTCCGTTCCTTCAGTACGAAGCCCTCATATGAGCACGGTATAATGTTGCTACATTCCCTTGCGTTGCTCGTCTCTTTTGCGACGGCACACAACCATCATCATGCGGAGACGGAAACACCTGCAGTCCGGACATTTTTCTACGTCGGGGGTGGCTATACTGAAGATGGCAAGGGTGGTCATATATTCAAGGACCAAATGTATGTCGAAAGGTTAACGCCAGTGTCCACCAAACAACATGATACGGACCCTATTGTTTTGATCCACGGCCAAGCGCAGACTGGAACCAATTTCCTCAACAAACCGGATGGAGGGAAATCATGGAGTTCAAGATTCCTTGAGGCTGGCCATACTGTCTATATCGTGGATCAAACCTTCCGCGGCCGCTCCGCCTGGGCACCAATGGCTGGTGCTGATGCGCCGTCGACTTATCCTGCTGAGCTCATTCAACAACGCTTCACTGCTCCACAGCAATATCGCCTCTGGCCCCAATCCACCCTTCATACTCAATGGCCAGGACCGGGAGTGATGGGCGATCCTATCTTCGACGCTTTCTATTCTTCCAACGTCCAGTTCATCCTCAACGCCACTTATCAACAGAGCACCATGCAAACAGCTGGAGCACAGCTTTTGGACTCCATCGGTACTCCCGCGTGGTTGCTTGGCCACAGCCAAGGGGGTCTTCTGCCGTTGCTCATCGCTGATGCACGGCCTCGTCTCACGAAGGGTCTCCTCTTGGTGGAGCCGACTGGTCCGCCGTTCCAGGAAGCAGTCTTTGGATCTGCAGCAGCGAGGAAATGGGTAGGTTCACCAATCCTTCGTCTCATTTGAAATGGCTGCTGACTTCAAAATCTACAGGGCTTGACGGACATACCGATGAATTATTCGCCTCCGGTCACTGACCCCGCGATCGACTTAGTGCAACAGGTTTATCAGCCTACCAACCTGACAAGTAACAATGCTACTGTTCCTTGCGTGTTGCAAGCAGCCGAGCCAGCTCCGAGACGACTTTCCAATCTGGCCCCTTTGCCCATTCTTACCGTTACGTCAGAAGCTAGCTACCACGCGCCGTACGACTACTGCACTGTCAACTTTCTCAAGCAAGCTGGCTGTTCTAAGGCTGAACATCTTGAGCTTGGCGAAGTCGGCATTCATGGCAATGGGCACATGATGTTCATGGAGAAGAACAGTGATGAGATATGGGAACGTATTCATGATTGGATGGGGGCTGCTAAGTAAATTCCTATCAAAATACTCAATCCTCAGTGCCAGCGCGTTGAGTTACAAATCCACAGTCTTCAAGCTACTCTTTCGGCTAGCTATCTACATTACCCGCCCACTTGTCCCTGGTCTCACATCTCTCATCCATTTCAACATTCATGTCCGTTTTGCTGCGCTTATTCCGGATATCCGTCCAGCCCATGCCCAAGCTGGCAAGGGTAGCCAGACATGCTATGCCTACCAAGAAGTAAAAGACATCGCGCAGACCCTCCGAGTATGCTCTCAGCACACCATCTAGTTCTCCAGGTGGAACGAGGGCTCGCACAGCACTGGCACTCGATCCAGCATCGACCGCCGCCTGGGGTGATATCATGGGCGCGTAGCGTGTGATGGCGGAGCGGAGTGTCTGCGCGAAGATCGTGTTTGCGACGACGACAGCGATAGATGTACTGAGGTTCTGGAAAAAGACGACGCTGGCCAACGCGACTGGGTATTGGGCCGGAGATACGGCGTTCTGCACTGCAATGATGGCCTGAAAGCGTCAATGATGTGACCTTAACCTGTGCAGGACTTGGACTTACTATCTGCATACCACATCCTCGGCCAGCGCCCAACAAAATCTGGTAGCCGATCCAGACCGAGGCGCTCGTAGATGCCGTGAACGTTGACACGAGAGCGTTGCCGATTGCGGTGATGATACCACCGACGAGCGCCCAGGGAAGATAGTAGCCCATGCGGGATACTATGAACAATAAGCTACCGAAAGCATGAGCTTGATTGTGTGGAGACATACCGGCAGCACCTGTTGCGATAACAACGAGAAGTTGGCTCAATATACTCGGCAGTACGTGTACACCACTGTCGGTCGGCCCATCGCCCTTCACGGCCTGGAAGTACGTCGGCATCCAAACACTCGCTGTCATCATACAAGTGATAATGCAGCTGGCGTACACGCAACTCGTCCAGACGATGCGCTGTCCAAGCAGCTTACCTGGGAGCATGGCTTGGTCGCCCATTCTTCTCTCCCAAAGTATGAAGAGGGCGGCGCATGTTGCAGCACCACAGAATAGTCCGATGACGACAGAGGAGCTCCAAGCGTACTCCCCGCCACTGCCTAGCTGGAGGGCGAGGAGCAGCATAACAGAAGGAGGAACGAAGAGAGCAAAGCCGAACAGATCGAGGTTGGGTATGATTTTGCGGACGAGAGACAGAGTAACGCGCGGCTTCGTCGTGCGCTCAGGAATGGGGACGAAAGCGATGAGGGCGGCTGCGACTCCGCCGATGGGTAGGTTCATGTAAAAGCCTGCGTTTGGGTTACCGTCAGCTTTAGAAGACAGGAACAAGAGGTAATGAAATGAACAACGTACACCAACGCCAGACCGCATGCTCAGTGAGAGCGCCTCCAATGAGCGGTCCTGCGACAATGCCCATTTGCGCAGCTATCATCTGGTTAGCATCCAGTCATGCGCAATCCATGATATAGCATTCATACTTCCGAGTACTATACCAGTGTACACTGTCGCATCATGTTAGCGTTCACCATCTGGAATTCATGGACCTAAGAACGCACCTGGACTCTTTTCTTTCGGCACAGCCCCTGCGAGGATTGTCATAGCGCCGTTCACGATACCGGACGCTCCTAAACCTGCAACCACTCTTCCAACGATAAGGAAGGCTGAAGAGCTAGCGACACCGCAGAGTAGGGACCCGAGTTCGAACAGAGATACGAATGTGAGAAACACAATCTTGTTGTTGAAGTGTGTGTAGAGCTTGCCGGAAAGTGGTTGCAATGTTGCTCTGGTAGCGACATCAATAAGCAGTTCGACGTGGTTCACTCAGACTTGGAAGGGAAACAAAATGTTGGTTGAAGAAGACGACGTACGACGCGAGCGTGAAAGCACCAATGTACCCTAATTACAGATATACAAAGTCAGTATACGTCTCACATCGCGGTTTCGCAGTTACACTTACAGCCTACATCTGGAAGCGAGTGGAACTCGGATGTAATGCGTGGTATTGCCTAATACCGTTAGAATCGTCATACCAGCGACACAGGCGATACATACAGTACCCATGATGGAGGTGTCGAGGCAGACGAGAAATGTAACTAGCGTTAGGCTACCGAGAAGGGTGAAGAGTTTTGGACCCTTGAGATATCGATCTGGCGGCGGCGTGTCGCGATAGCTGTCCATGTTGGCTGGCTGCTATGTAGGTATGTTCAGGTTCACGTAGAATTTGTCTAGGTTGTTGTAGGTTTCGAGCGAAATGTAGTAAAATGTTCGTGTGCAAAAGGCCAACGAGCGATAACGATATGCAGTGATCAGGTAAGAGCAGGTTTGAATGGCATATATAATAGGAAGTCGCATGTTGACCTGTGGCTTTGTCCATGGATCGGGTTTCGGGCGGGTTTGACCTGCATATCAGGCAGCCGCAGCCGGAAATTAGGTCAGATCCTCGCAAATCCGTCCCAAGCTTCTCGTAATGCCCTATTAATCATTTAGAGCCTATCTCAAGTGTAGCTTTGTGTCCTTCACCATCTGCGCAAACGTCTGTAAACTGATCCATTCAGACCCACTCACATGGCTCAAGGATTGAAAGCATTAGGCAACCAGAAGTCACTCGAAAAGTCCAGTGCCCCAAAATCACCAAAACCGCCATTCCATCCATCCGATGCATTGCCCATGTCGTCATCGTTCTCCGTCGTTGGAAGTTTCCAGTTTGGTGCCATAGCCCTTAGCGTTTCCGCAGCCGCAGCAAACAGAGTATCCTCGCCTGTCTTGGCCTTGAATTCCGTGTTAGCCTGCTCAGCAATCTCGGCGAACCTCTCTAGACATTGCACGATGTCGAAGCTTGATTGAACGATGGGTGGTATCCAGTCTGGGATTCCTTTGAGGCTGGCGAATCTGTACAAGGTCTTGATACAATACGAGAACACGAGCATTGATGGAGCCGTCAGACCTATGACTCCGCCATTCCAAGCGTGTTCTCGACAGGCTTTACTGGTCTCTAGGAGCTCCATAAAGTACTCGATACGCCTGGGCTCAAACGCTAGATGCGACACTGACAGCTCATCCGTAGGCTTGGTTAAGAGCGCAAGATCGTAGATGGCAACCTGGGCGGTTTGATTGAGACCGATTATTAACCCTGGAGTAATTTGAGCGCTGAAAGAGGTGACGGAACGATGATCTTACAGTGCTGTAGAATCTCAATGGGAAGTGAGCTTTTGAAGTTGTTGAGCGCCAATATTAGAGGGTCAATAGCCATCATAGCATGCCTTGCTGTATTGTGATCATCTGAAGCTCTTCGCGATACTTCGGCGGCGCTGACAACAATCTTTGCCAGACGCGCAGCGGCGACCAGTATGACGTCCCCTTCACATTCTTTGTTCTTACTGAGGTGGTCGCACGCATCTTCGATCTGCGACGACCAGAGCATCAGGTCATATTCGAAGATAACAGCAACACTTCTAGCGTCAGTTGAGCTACGATGAGTTTACTTGCAATCTTACTTGGCGCATAATATGAAAACAGATAGAAATGCTCTAATACCCTCTGTCTTCCGAACTTCCTTGTTATCAACACGAGGGCCTAGGCTTGGACATCCCGCGGGTTGCGTGGGCTTGTCGAGTCGGAGATCGCTAACCAGCGTTTTTGCAAGACCGCACATGGAGCCCAGGAACTGTTTCCCATGCGTGAAGTACGGTGACCTAACAGCATTAAAGTTGGAAACACTACACATGATCTGCGTCCTTACCAAGCTATGCACATGATGACAGTCAAGAGCAAGTCAATGCTCCGTTCTCCCTGCACAATAATCCTGGAAGCCAATTGTTCTCGTAAGTGTTTGCTCAACTGGCTTTGCTTCGTTATTGCTTTGGTGAGTATTGTGCGGATAGCATGGCAAAATAGCGGGTATTTGAGATAAAGCTCGTCTGTGGTAGTATTCTCCGACATAGGCATGAAGGGGAAATAGTACAGATAGCTCGTCCGGAAGTCGTCCACCTGATCGCTAGACAAGTGCTTGTCGTTGTCAAGACCATCGGTCGCCTGGTGAGGAATTACTGAGGAGTCGGGTGTTAGCACGAGCTGCTCATTGGGCGATATGGTGAGAGGCGCTGTGCGCTGTGTTCGAAGCAAAGAGACGACTTCATCGAGTTTGTCCTCCAATTTTGATCTCTTCGGCGCTTGGTTTGATCTGGGTGCCCTCCTGCGCGCAGCTGTTGAAGCTCTACACTCTTTACCTAGGCGGTGACATCTTTGCGTTCAAGTTAGCCCGAGTGCGCGGAAGGTAGCGAATTGAGTCTACATCAACCTAAAAGCATGCAAACTAGGTGACCTAACGTCGATGTAGGCTCCAGGGTGTTCGGCTTTTTCTTAGGTTGACGTGCATTTCCGAGTGTGATTGCTCCATAGTGAGCGTATTGGTCAAAGGGATGGCGCACCTGTCGCAAACACCGCCGTCGCGTAACATACATCGGCATTTCGCTTTAACGCAGTTGCCACATGCCTGACCATATGGCGCAGGGGTCTTGCCTACTGCGTCCGTTTCCATGATAGGATTTCGTCTGTATTCCAGGTACTCAATCTGTATGCGAAGAAGACGAGCATGATGGGGTTGGTTGTGCACGCGTAACGCGCGAAAGGACGGGATTCGGAGCGGAATGACCGAAATTAGGCAACCAAGCGGACCCGATTTCTCGTTTCGGCCCCCAGACAAGGGGGACCGTTCGCTGTTACTACACGTCACAACGAAGGTGAGTAGGCATCTCTGACTCCAAATGCAAACTGGCTGGTTTCGCGAAGTAAAGAAATAATTATTTGAATAGGGTATGTGTCCGAACTCCAGAGTTCCTAACGCCGCAGATCATCCCGCCCTTTACGTCTTCACCTTCGCCTTGCCCTTCCTTAGCCTGTCGAACTCTTGAATGAGTTCCACAGCTCTCAGGTCAGCCTCGGATTTCCGGCCCATCCACTCAGTCTCTCCCCGTTTTGCCGCCTTGATGCGCTTTCTCGTGCCGCCTTTCGCCAAGTACTTCATACTCTTCACGATGCCATCTCCAGGGTATGCTATAATCCCAAAGGTTGCTGCGCCAGTCTTCGTGATCAGTCCGGACATTCCCTTGCCGAAGCCCTTTGCATACCCGATCGCACCCTCTTTCTTCCCACCCTCATACGTCTGACGGAAGGGATCCGAGAGGCCGTCGGCAAAGCCATGGATGAAGGTCTTGCCACCGACTTGGAAGCCAGAAAGAGCGCCAGTGACCTCCCCATGGTCTTTGACTTCTTCACCATACAACCTTGGCACGTTGCGAAAACCTTCTGTGGCAGCGAGAGGGAGGTCGACGATGGTACCCTTATAGAATGCACCTACAAATCTACCAAAGCCTTTGGCAAAGCGACCTGCGGCAGCTGCGCCGCTTGAACCCGGCTTTCCTGAAGACGCTGAGGCTCCTGAGAATGCAGCAGGGTGTTTAGGCTCAACGAAGGGATCCACAACCATGCCCTTCACTGCCATACCCATGTCTCCGACAATGCCAACACACGCCGAAGTTGTACTTGTTATGGGGTCCCAGCGTTGATTGGTGATGATGAAAGGATCGGTTTCGTGGTTTTCGAGATCGGTGGGATCGATGGAACCATTCTCGATGAGTATCTGTGCCGCTAATTTGGAAAGAAGGATGGATTCTTTCTTGACCTTCCACGATGCCACCTGTGTAGGTAGCAGTGCGCATCGCATAGTCTCGAGAGGCAGATTGGTGTGGAAAGATTGTACTGCTGCCTCGACGCCTCGCTCATTCGCCATCTGCGAAGATAATCCCCGTGCGGCCTGCTTTGCCTCGCGCGTGAGACAGAAGTGGATAGCCGCTGTAAGGTTTTCGGCCGTCAGAAGTTTGTGGGGAATAGGTTGAGGACCGGCTCCCGCTGCTGCTATCATCTCTCCCCAGAACGGCTGGTCTCCAAAGAACGGAACGACAACAGTAGGACATGCATTACGAAGTCCGCACGCAGCTGTACCTGCACCGCCGTGATGTACCACCGCTGCAACATGCTGAAACAGCCATTCGTGTGGACAGTCGCCGATGAACAGAACGTCGTTATTGTCGTTTGGTAAGTCGCCTCCAAGGTTACTCCATCCTCTAGAGATGATCGCTCGGATACCTAAGGCGCGCACGGTTTCCAGGATGCTTGATGTCACCTTTGCTGGATCGTCGAGGACGATGCTTCCGAAGCCGATGTAGACCGGCGGAAGTCCATTTCTCAGGAACTGATCAATTTCCGGAGGCGGCGTGTACGGCGTTGGTTCGCGGAAGAAGAAACCACAAACATCGATATGCGCTGCCCAATCAGGTGGCTTCGGAACCAAAGCCGGAGACCAGCAGTACGTAAAAGGCACTTTGAGTGTAGAAGCAAGTACAGGTCCGACTGATAGCGGCACCTCTTCAAGGTCCAAGGAATGTCTGAACCCATTGATGACATCACCTAGACCCTGCCACGTTAGAAATTCGACGACGCCATACGATGCATAGTTGATGAGAGCGGTCGAGATTTCGTCGCTCTTGAAGTTCGCCAGCGGATGCGGAAAGGCTCGGGTGCTGCTCCAAGGCATGGTAAACATAAGATGGAGTGGAATGCCCAGAGCTTGGGCACAGTGTACATGCGCGAAACTAGGCGGGTTGGCGATGATTGCGTCTGCCACGAATGGCTGTTGAGTTTTGACGTCCGGTTCGATACATGACTGCCAGCAGCCATAGAGCATCTCGGCGATCATTTCCCTTTTCTTTTGGATATCGCCTTCGCGAAGACTCTTCATGGACGGTATCAACCCTGGGTTCTTGACCATGTAGGCCACTGCTGCATGTTAACGAGGTACGAAGGGACCTTTACAGCATAACATACTGAGCTCTTTAGGATCCCCGCCAATAGGATAAAACTCTAGATTTGACTCCTTTACGAAGCCTTCGAACGTGTTGTGTGTCGCTATGCGGACACGGTGGCCGTACTTCTGTAACTCTTGTCCGAGAGCAATGAATGGCTGTACATCGCCTCGACTTCCTACGACTTGAATGACGATATTCAGGCGGATACTCCATAGTCGGCTAACAGTAAATCTTCGGCTTAGTTCTGGTTCGTCCTTGTCATGCTTCGGTACGAGCTTCACGAGTGTTTTGGTCAGTCGCGAGTTCAAGTCAATGTCGATGCGACCGTCATCTGCTCCCAATCAGCATAGTTATGGGTGTTATGACGGGTTGCGCTTACTCGTCACTCCAGTATCTCCTGGTTGTGGTATTGAGCCCGTCAGCTCTTCCGCAGTGTACGGCGGTGGTGCGCCGAGATGATATACGTCATCGTCGCGTTCAGAGTCCACTGGTATCGGCGCTTGGGTGCTATCTGGTCTTGCTTTCATGATGAGGGCAAATCGGGTGAAGAAAAAAGTATTGCTTCTGAGCACCTCATTTCTGGCAGCCGGCGACTTTTATCATCACGGTTTTACTACGCAATACGCAGATTACGCAAATACGATATACGAAGACCCGTCTCCGGCTAGCGTGAGATCACGGATCTTCCCGCAAGTCTAGCCTGTTCCATAATTCTAGCGCTCCAAGACGCGTCACGCCGGGCTGAGCCCGGAATCGGCCTCACATGAGACCAAGAGAGAACTGGGAAAAACTACCTGTATTGTTTAGACAAGTAACGGGGTCCTATACAAAATGTAGCTCACATGCATAAAGCAGCACTTACACCAGCTCAATCAGATTCATCAACCTCTGCATGCGCAATCGCCCACCACCCTCGAACGATGCTCTTCTCGGCTGCGACGCCCGTCAATGGCTTCCTACCCATCTCGAATTGATGGCGTTTGAGTTCGTTCACAACAAGCGCCAGCTTCGCCAGCCACATATCTGAAGGCTGACCCTCGAAGTGCGGACCAATCAATTCACATGCAAACTGTTGCGCAAGATCGAGCTTCTTTTCTTCAGGCCAGGGGTCCATTAAGCCATTGCGTGCAAGGCCTTGGGACACCAGCATCGTCAGTCCATGTAGCAATGGGAAGAGTCGAGCATTTTCCAAGTCGGCAGCTTCTTCTACATCTTCCCACTGAACCAATGGGTTGTTGACACCCAAGCAGCGGTTGGCTTCCCATAGTAGTATGTTGATCGCCAGGCTTGTCTTCCTCTCGATCGCGTTGTGGGCGTCCCAGAGTAGGAAACAGAATCGAATGAGCGGAAATGCCATGGGTTGAGGACTGGCACCGCGAGAAGCTGTAATCGCGTCATGAAACGGCGAGAAATAATCGCCGGCGCTTGCTGCATCTTGCAAAGCTTTCTGCAGGATGTCGTCTCCGTCGCTCGTGTAGCATTTCTTGAAGAAGTGTAGGGTGTCATGACGCTCGACATCAGGATCGGTGTTTGCGACGCTATCGCGTAGCTGTTCGAC